AGACACAGAGCATCATGTTTCTCATTGCGGAATTGTAGAATTGCACGGAATTGCTCGGAATTGCTCAGAGTTGCTCGGAATTGCGTGGAATAGCTTGGAATAGTGCGGAATAGCAGGGAATTGCGCGGAATTGCTCGGAATTGCGCGGAATTGCGCGGAATTGCGCGGAATAGCGGGGAATTGCGCGGAATTTCTCGAAATTGCGCGGAATTGCTCGGAATTGCTCGGGATTTCACGGAATTGCTCGGAATTGGGCAATTAAAAATTGGAAACCCCAATCATTTAATTTCAAAACAAGTTCTCTAGTATTCCACTTTCTTTTTCTTGAATATTAACCTTCTTCAAATTTCAAAATTTGAAAAACTAAATTCAATTTCCTGTGTTTCTTTCAAACCTTAATATAACTTTTTGTTTTTTTAAATCTAACTAATCATATTGTTTGTTTTTATTTAAATATTATATTTTGTTTCTTCTGTCATTCTAACTAAATTCATTATTTATCTATCTTTTTTTAACTACTTTCTTTTAGATATGTTTCTCTTATTCTAATTGTATTTTCTGTTTTTTTATTAAACTGATTTTTTTTAAATTTATTATCTTAAAAAAACAGCTTTCTGAATTCTGTTCTTGTTCGTCTCAGATCTTTAGGTTCTCTCAGAATTAATTTTTTCTCTCGATATAAAAAGTATTTAAAAATTATCTATATATTTCAATACTTTTAACAGCTATATTTAACCCTGAGGTCTGGGGATGGTTTTCCTACCAACCCTTAACGAAGGGGGGCCTGGTACAAAAAGATTCTAATCATAAAAAATGACAACAATTCTAACATTAATATAAGGTTTGAAAATTATTTAAAAGTTTTATTATTCAAACTAGATTTTTTAGGGACGATTCCATTTTAAGGTTTATATCTGGTTTAGTTTTAGGTTTGACTGAAAACGAGTTTTTAAATGGTCAGCCATATCAGCCAATGAGAGGGCCGTATTCTGTATACCAGTCCAAAATACTCAAATCTTATTGGCTGATGCGGGATAAATAAAGCGTAAACATCTGTAACATTTTGAGAGTAAACAAAAATTAAATTTCAATTATTCAATGCCAAAAAAACACACCCATGAGCACATACCTCATATTCGCCGTGTAACAATCAGTTATAATAAACGAAACTTTCACAATTTAGGATTTATAAGAATTAAGATCACATCTTAGGTTTACGGCACAAAAAGATAACAAAAGAAAAAAAATTCTCATTAGCGAATGCGCACTTAGCTAGCACAAAAGTTTTTTAACATGGAAGCTTAAAACTCAAGAATTTGTTGTTCATCATTTGTCTAAATTTTCTAATATTTTGGAGAAACAACATTATTTACTTGAAGATAAAGTTCCCTGTTTAAAAAAAATTTAATTAAAAAAAGCTAAATATTGCTGTAGCTTCAAACTAAAGTCTTTAATATGTCATCTTAAAGGACTTTAGGCGTAGTTTTCAGCTCAGTTCCTGTAATAAACTTGATCTTATGGCAACCCATTATTGATAATTATAAATTTTGAACAGTAATTTTGAAGTGTAATTTTCTTAAAATAGAAGAAACAAAAACTTTTACAATTTAAACCTTTTTAATAAAACATTTGAGAAGAAAATCTCCCAAAAATATTCTGAAGAAAATAACAAAATATCTTTTTACCAGAAAATCAGTCAACTGGTGCAGAATGTACACTGTACACTGTGCACTGTACACTGTACACTGTACAGATAATCAACCATGACAGAACGCCCAAGGCATCAGGCATAACAGACTGACCAGCCTTTGAGGTCAGATTAAGTAGTGCATTTACAACATTAACAAATAATCGGATTGTTTTTGAAGATTTTTATCGTGTTGGTTTTAACAGTGAAGTAGAACTGGCAGTGGTCAAGACATGCGTCGGGACATCAGGAGTATTTCGGGGATTTTCTCAGAGTTTACAGGAGATGAAAGAGTTTTTACATATTTATAGAGTAGCAGCAAGTTTCAGAGTATTCATACTTTACGGTAGTTTTAATAATTAAATATCCCTAGATTAACGAAAACTGAAGGAAAAAATAGTATTGGTAGGATTATGGTTCCGTAGATTTCAGGTTTAGGAGATAGTATCCGTAGATTTCAGGTGTAGGAGATAGTATCCGTAGATTTCAGGTTTAGGAGATAGTATCCCTAGATTTCAGGTTTAGAAGATAGTATCCGTAGATTTCAGGTTTAGGAGATAGTATCCGTAGATTTCAGGTTTAGGAGATAGTATCCGTAGATTTCAGGTTTAGGAGATAGTATCCTTAGATTTCAGGTTTAGGAGATAGTATCCGTAGATTTCAGGTTAAGGAGATCGTATCCGTAGATTTCAGGTTTAGTAGATAGTATCCGTAGATTTCAGGTTTAGGAGATAGTATCCGTAGATTTCAGGGTTAGAATATAGTATTCGTAGATTTCAGGTTTAGACGATAGTATTCGTAGATTTCAGGTTTAGAGGATAGTATTTGTAGATTTTAGGTTTAGGTGATACTTTCCGAATTTTTTTAGTTTAGAAATAGTTATATCAGTAGAATTTGTCTTTTTTGCTGTACTTTTTCAAAATATTCAAAAATAAAATTTTAGATAGTTTTTTTAATGAATGAAAAATTATAAGGGTAAGGTTTTAAGAGAATGGAAAGAGTTAGAGTTTAAAAATCTAAAGTAAAAATCTAATGAATTTAAAAGGTAGATGGAAAGGTTAGAGCAAAGATCAGTGCATGGGAATCATTACTGTTCAGTAGAATTCCACTTTACTTGATTTAATATTGTTTTGTTGGTTTGTGCACAACTGGATTAGGATTAACAAACGTCCACTGACTTAAACTCAAACTGATCTTTTCTCGACAAGATCTCTGCTACTTGTTCTTGTCTTGACAAGATCTCTGCTACCTGTTCTTGATTTGACAAGATCTCTTTGTCTTGAAAACGGTTTTAACCTCTTTGTATTTCTAGTTTCCAGTCTAATCTAGAATATCTTTTGTCGTCTGGTGTCATTTTCTGGTGTCTCCATTGGAACTGTTTCTGGTGTCACATTTGGAACTGTCTCTGGTGTCGCATTTGGAACTGTTTCTGGTGTCTCACTTGGAACTGTTTCTGGTGTCCTATTGGAACTGTTTCTGGTGTCACATTTGGAACTGTTTCTGATGTGGGGTCTTTTAGTTTTTTCGTCAGGGATTTGGAAAAATAGTAGTACACAAAATTCCAATTTCTGATTTCGTTAAAAACTAGTGGGACGGGAACTACAGGTTTGATGAATGTGGGTCGGGTTGCATGTCAGTGGGAAGGATTTCTCCGGGTAGTATCACAGGATCAAACCCTAGTTCTCTCCATCTAGGTATCGGAGAAGTCCTTGCCTAGATGTCCCAGTTTCCTCGCCAACTCATGCATCACCTCCTTGAAGATCATCGAGTCCACGTTCTGGCCCAGCATATAGAACAGGAACCAGTCTCCAACATAGGACTTCTTGACGATGGTGTTGATGACCTCCCTCCTGATGAGCCTGAACCTGATGTAGAGAAGGTAGGCTCTCATCTTCGGGCTGAGGACAATGATTAGTCTGTAGAGGATAACAAGGAAACTCAGGATAGAGAGAAGAATAAACCTGAAAAAAAAACCTTTTTAAAGGAACTGTCTACCTAATTTTTCAAGTGACCCTTCATTAAAAAAGTTTCACATCCGATTTATAACCTTAGAGAATTTACATGAAAAATGACAATGTCTCCCTTATTGTAAATCCAATACAGGGCTCAAGAGTACTGTTGTCAATTAAGTATGATTTGCTTTAAATGAAGGGAACCTTGATATCAGTATCGAAAATAGCTTAGGTCAATATTTTGTAAAAAAGAGAAATTGGGTTTTTATAATAAGCAGAACCGTGTCCGTATGCTACAATAAATCATGGCAGATTAAACGTGTAAACGTTTTAAAAAGAGAGAAACTGATTAAAAAACGATGATAGTTCAAAGTGCATGTATTCAAGTGTTAAAGTAACCATTCATGCGTTTAAATATATTTAGATTCGAAACTATGCTATTGAAGGGTTTCAGTCAGCAACAATTTCAGACAAATTTATACTTGGGAAAAAATTTTAGAATTAAGAACTGTTGTTTATACAATACTTTCTATGGTTAACGAAGATAATGGTGACCAGATTTGGTAAAAATGTATATATGATGCATTGTCCGCGATTTTATAAATAATTTTTCATAGGAAGAGGGGGGGGAGGGTTTACGATATTAAAAAAGTGAAAGAGATTTACTCAAACTTTCGAACAGATAAGATTTCTCGAGTCGCTTTCAATTTCTTCTTACGGAATCAAGGTGCCGGGATATAGCTGTAATGTGAGCACTCTGTTTTAACTCGAACTAATGTTTGTAATTATACTATGCGGCTCGAATAAGGTTCTAAAGCGGTTCACCCTTCTCCCCACAAGTTTAACATCATAAAAGAAATGAATCTACAACTACAAGAAATGAATAACCTTGAACTAGGATTGTGTGTTTGGTAAGAATAAATGGTTAAAAATAGATTTTGTGATAAAATATTGAACTTACCAAAACCAGAGGAAAACATACACTTTCTCATTTACTATATTTAGAGGGAGAAGACACAGAGCATCATGTTTCTCAACCTCTCCGCTTGAACCAAACTTGTGGAATGTACACTGAAATATAATAAATTCTTATTCATAATATTGAATTCTGCATTTATATTGTATTGAGGGGTGTGTTCATAATTTTTCAGTTTTTGTATTTTTTTCATGTCTGTTTGTTCATGTCTGTTTTTCATGTCTGCTTGTTCATATACATACTTAAATACTTTTGCTGTTCATAAAAAATTAGTGCAAAATTTATCTGTGGGGTTCTCCGTGGGCTTATCTGTAGGTTTCTCTATGGTTTTATCTGTGGGTTTATCATTGGTTTATCTGTGCGTTATCTGTGGGTTGGTCCGTAGGTTTATCTGTGGGTTTATCTGTGCGTTATCTGTGGGTTTGTCCGTAGGTTTATCTTGAGCATCATGTTTCTCAACCTCTCCGCTTGAACCAAACTTGTGGAATGTACACTGAAATATAATAAATTCTTATTCATAATATTGAATTCTGCATGTATATTGTATTAAGGGTTGTGTTCATTTATTTTTCAGTTTTTGTATTTATTTCATGTCTGTGCGTTCATGTCAAAATATTCATGTCTGTTTGTTCATGTCTGCCTATTCATGTCTGTTCATTCATGTCTGCTTGTTCATATACATACTTAAATACTTTTGCTGTTTATAAAAAATTAGAGCAAAATTTATCTTTGGGGTTCTCCGTGGGTTTATCTGTAGGTTTATCTATGGTTTTATCTGTGGGTTTATCATTGGTTTGTCTGTGCGTTATCCGTGGGTTGGTCCGTAGGTTTATCTATGGGTTTATCTGTGCGTTATCTGTGGGTTTGTCCGTAGGTGATTGTGGGTTTGTCTGTGGATTAGTCTTGGGGTTGCTCCGTGGGTTTATCTGTGGGCTGGTCTCTGGGTTTATCTGTGGGCTGGTCTCTGGGTTTTCTGTGGAATTATCTGTGATCTTGTCTGTGGGTGTTTCTGTGGGTTTATCTGTGGATTGGTCCGTGGGTTTATCTGTGGGATAGTCTGCGGGTGTCTCTGGAATTGGTTTCTAAACAGCAAGAAGAGTATTAGACACAACAATTGTCCAGTGAGCAGTGAGCAATTTATGATTTATAACAACATTAAATACATTAAATGGCATCTTCCTATTCCACAGTTTTATGTAACCCACTGTTTGTTTTATACCTTCGTCATCCTAGGGAAGACGTATATGAGAGGATCGAGACGATCCTCTTGATCCTGCTCCGCGAAGGCGATCACCTCGAGACCGAACGTGAGAAAAGCTCCGTCGAAGAAGCGGTCCATCAAGAACATTTGACCTAAAATCAGTTTTAATATTAGAAGATCGACCAGGTTCTGATCGAATAGTAGATTTTCTCCAAATCTTATTTTGTTGTAAAATCTATTATCAGTATCATCAACTTTATTAAAGAGACAAAATACGTAATTTCAATTTAAATAATCCATTTCCATATCGTAATTTGTTCCATCATAAAAAGCGCTCTATTTTAAAATTACGTTCTTTGTCTCTGTTGCTTTAAATCCGCAAGGAAATTTCAGAAGGAAACCACATTTGGAAACGATAATGTGTTTATAATTTTTTCTCGAACATAAGTTTCAAGTGTATCTTTGTAAATCGGACATACCCTTCTTCGAATGGAATGTCACATAGAATTACGTCTACAGTCCCTTTAAACAGCTGTTCCCCCCTCTCCTCGTCCCCGCTCTCTATCGACCTGTCATACTTACTAATACCTATATAATCCCTGTATAATCCACTTGTCCTTTGCTCTCATAGTTGCCTAATATGTGTTCCCTGTTTTCCTGTAATTTACCTCCCATCCAACATTTTTTTTTTCATTTACAAACTAAAATTTTCAAAATCCCTTTGTTTGCTATTACTCCTTACTTTCCCCGATTACCGCCAGCTTTCCTACAATGGAAGTTCTTTTTCCTAGTAGGTTTTCTCTTATTTTCTACAAAACTGCCGGAATAAATGCAGATATCATTGCTAGAAATGCAGTTGCCAGGAGAATACTCCTGTTTAGATATATGAACGCAAATAACTGACGTTGTTTTTTTAGCAACTGTGTTTCTAGCAAAATATTTTAGAGCAATTATATCTGCAGCTCGGAATATATATATTAATTTATACTGGATCCAGTATCAGCTAAATGACGTCATATTAGGATAGATCAGAAACTGGTTTATTGTAAACAAAATAAAAGTTGGTAAAAAGTGATTCAACATGCCCGGGCCTTCCTGTCCTGTCCAAAAATATCTAACTTTATTTTCAATATTTTTTTATTGTTTACAATAACGTCTCTTAGCTGTCGCAATACCTCATACTTATACGTAATCAAACCCCAATATTTAACATACGTCTAACTCCAATAGTTATATACTGTTTATGCTATTGGTCCGAACATTGGAGTTACGTTCTACTCCAATAGTAATATTTACTATACGCCCTACTCCAATAGTAATATTCACTATACGTCCTACTCCAATAGAATATTTACTATACGTCCTACTCCAATAGTAGTATTTACTATACGCCCTACTCCAATAGAATATTTACTATACGTCCTACTCCCATAGAATATTTACTATACGCCCTACTCCAATAGAATATTTACTATACGTCCTACTCCAATAGAATATTTGCTATACGTCCTACTCCAATACTTATATTTACAATACGTCCTACTCCAATAGAATATTTACTATACGTCCTACTCCAAGACTTATATTTACTATACGTTCTACTCCAATAGTAATGTTTACAATATGTCCTACTCCAATAGAATATTTAATATACGTCCTACTCCAATAGAATATTTACTATACGTCCTTCACCAAAAGTAATATTTAATATACGTCCTTCACCAATAGTAATATTTAATATACGTCCTACTCCAATAGTAATATTTACTATACGCCCTACTCCAATAGAATATTTACTATACGTCCTTCACCAATAGTAATATTTAATATACGTCCTTCACCAATAGTAATATTTAATATACGTCCTTCTCCAATAGTAATATTTACTATACGCCCTACTCCAATAGTAATATTTACTATACGCCCTACTCCAATAGAATATTTACTATACGTCCTACTCCAATAGTAATATTTACTATACGTCCTACTCCAATAGTAATATTTACAATACGTCCTACTCCAATAGAATATTTACTATACGTCCTACTCCAATAGAATATTTACTATACGTCCTACTCCCATAGAATATTTACTATACGTTCTGCTCCAATAGTAATATTTACTATACGCCCTACTCCAATAGAATATTTAATATACGTCCTACTCCAATAGAATATTTACTATACGCCCTTCACCAATAGAATATTTACTTTACGTCCTACTCCAATAGAATATTTACTATACGTCCTACTCCCATAGAATATTTACTATACGTTCTGCTCCAATAGTAATATTTATTGTACGTTCTACTCCAATAGTAATATTTACTTTACGCCCTACTCCAATAGAATATTTAATATACATCCTACTCCAATAGAATATTTACTATACGTCCTACTCCAATAGAATATTTACTATACGTCCTACTCCCATAGAATATTTACTATACGTTCTGCTCCAATAGTAATATTTACTATACGCCCTTCTCCAATAGAATATTTAATATACGTTCTACTCCAATAGAATATTTACTATACGCCCTTCTCCAATAGAATATTTACCTACTACATTGATAAGAGCTAGGAATTCACAGAAGAAGTATCTGTATGCCCACCAGTTATGATGTTTTAGATTATCCGAGAGATAATCTAACAACAGTCTTTTCTTTTGTCTTTTCTCCACATCCTAGAATATTAGAGATTTAAATACTTTACCCATAAATTTATGCAACATAAATACTAGAAAAGATAAGGGTAAACTATACCAGGACGGATAAGGGCAAACTATACCAGGACGGATAAGGATAAGCTATAGCAGGACGGATAAGGATAAGCTATACTAAGACGGATAAGGATAAATTATGCCAGGACGGATAAGGATAAACACTACCAGGACGGATAAAGATAAACTATACCAGGATGGAAAAGGATAAACTATACCAGGACGGATAAAGATAAACTATACCAGGACGGATAAGGATAACTTATACCAGGACGGATAAGGATAAACTATACAAGGACGGATAAGGATAAACTATGCCAGGATGGATAAGGATAAACTATACAAGGACGGATAAGGATAATCTATACCCGGACGGATAAAGATAAAAGCTATACCAGGACGGATAAGGATAAACTATACTATAGGACGGATAAGGATAAACAATACCAGGACGTATAAGGATAAATTATACCAGGACGGATAAAGATAAAAGCTATACCAGGACGAATAAGGATAAACTATACCAGGACGGATAAGCGTATATACTATACCATGACGGATAAAGATAAGCTATACTAGGACGGATAAGGGTAAACTATACCAGATCGATAAGGATAGTCTATGCCGGGACGGATAAGGATAAACTATACAAGGACCGATAAGGATAAACTATACCAGGACGGATAAGGATGATCTATACAAGGACGGATAAGGATAAACTATACCAGGACGTGATTTGGGTAAACTATACCATGACGGATAAGGATAAACTATACCAGGACGGATAAGGATAAACTATACCAGGACGAATAAGGGTAAACTATACTAAGACGGATAAGGATAAACCATGCCAGGTCGGATAAGGATAGGTGTCATGACAAACTCCTGAAAGAAAAACTCCTGAAAGACAAACTCCTGAGCTGAAAACTTTAGAATGGTGGATATCAGGATTAATGCTTAATCCACTCTTTTTCTTAATCTCCAGATTAAATATGGCTTGTTTTCCTCGTGAACTTAATCTCCAGATTAATTAACAGATCAGGATTAAGGATATCACATTCTAAAGTTTTCAGCTCTGAAAGAAAAACTCCTGACAAGACAAACTCCTGACAAGACAAACTCCTGAAAGACAAACTCCTGAAATTATGAAACTTTTCTCTGAACGAAATATGATAAAATTCATAAACTTTAGGAGAAAAAATCCGCAAATATCCTAGAAAAAATTCTCAATCTTTAGTAATCTGAATATGCTTCAACAAGCAAAGTATTACAATGATCAGAATAACCAGCAAATTTATTATTATTTATTTTTATTATTTAGGGTTGGGTTAGGTTAAGACACTTTCAGGGGCGAGCGCTGCGGCCATGGGTTAGGTTAGTTAAGACACTTTCTGGGCCGAGCGCTGCGGCTAGGACAGGCTAGGGGGCCGAGCGGTGCGGTCATGGGTTAGGTTAAGTTTTGACACTTTCTGGGCCGAGCGCTGCGGCAAGATTAAATATAAATTGTGAAACATTTTTTTTAAATTTGATATTATGGAGTTTGTATTTCAGAAATTTTTATTTTCAGGAGTTTGTCTCGTCAGGAGTTTGTCTCGTCAGGAGTTTGTCTTTCAGGAGTTTGTCTTTTCAGGAGTTTGTCTTTCAGGAGTTTGTCATGGCGCCTAAGGATAAACTATGCCAGGACGGATAAGGATAAACTATGCCAGGGCCGATAAGGATTAACTATACCAGGACGGATAAAGATAAATATACCAGGACGGATAAGGATAAACTATGCCAAGACGAATAAGGATAAATGTACCTGAGCTGAAAACTTTAGAATGGTAGATATCAGGATTAAGGCTTAAACCACTCTTTTTCTTAATATCCAGATTAAATATTGCTTGTTCTCCACATGAATTTAAACTTATTTGAAAATAATAAATTTGAAAAATGGATATTTCATTCTAAAGTTTTCAGCTCAGGACAGAATGTATACCTGAATGACTCCGACATCTAGATCCATCATGAGAGCATGAATCTTCCCTGCCTCCCAGTTCTTCCATAACCAGCGTGGTACGTAGAACAGGATTGCCTGAAATAACGAAAACTTGAAACTAATTAATCCTAATATTTATTTTAATCCTAATAAATATTTTAATCCTAATAAATATTTTAATCCTAATAAACATTTTAATCCTAATAAATATTTTAATCCTAATACATATTTTAATCCAAATGAATATTTTAATCCTCATATCTTTTTTATCCTGATATTTATTTCAATTCTGATATTTATTTTAATTCTGATATTTAATTCAATTCTGATATTTATTTCAATTCTGATATTTATTTCAATCCAGATATTTATTTCAATCCTGATATAAATCTTACATATTTATTTTAATCCCGATATTTATTTTAATATATGTTATTTAATTTAATCCTGATATTTATTTTAATCCTGTTGTTTATTTAAATCCTGATATTTGTTTCAATCCTGATATTTATTTCAATCCTAATATTTATTCCAATCCTGGTTTTATCCTGATATTTTTTTAAATCCTGATATTTATTTTAACCCTGATATTTAATAATCCTGATATTGAATTATCCTGATATTTAATTTAATCCTGATATTATCCTGATATTCATTTTATTCCTGTCATTTATTTCAATTCCGATATTTATTTCAATTCTGATATTTACTTCAATTTTGATATTTAATTCAATTTGATAATTATTTCAATCCTGATTTTATCTTGATATTTTTTTTAAATCCTGATATTTATTTTAATCTTGATATTTATTTGAATTCTGATATTTATTTCAATCCTGATATTTTTTTCAATCCTGATATTTATTTCAATTCTGATATTTATTTCAATCCTGATATTTATTTCAATCCTGATATTTATTTTAATCCTGATATTTATTTCAATTCTGATATTCATTTAAATCCTGATATTTCTTTCAATACCGATATTTACTTCAATCCTGATATTTATTTTAATCCTGAAATTTATTTCAATTCTGATATTTATTTCAATTCTGATATTTACTTTAATCTTGATATTTATTTCAATCCTGATATTATCCTGATATTTATTTCAATCTTGATATTTATTTCAATCCTGATATTTATTTCAATCCTGATATTTATTTCAATCCTGATATTTATTTCAATTCTGATATTATCCTGATATTTATTTCAATCTTGATATTTATTTCAATCCTGATATTTATTTCAATTCTGATATTATCCTGATATTTATTTCATTGAAAATTTTATTTCTTCACTAAAAGAATCCCTGCCATAAAGTTCCCAAAAACTATCAGCGCGAAACTTAGTTACGCCCGCCGTTTACTTCAAATTTGAGGCAAATCGGTCATGGGGCTCATGAGTTATGATCGGACATACAAAGAGAGATTACTAATCGTAAATATATAGAAATTATAATCGTAAATTCGTAAATCGAAATGAAAAGAATATTTGTTCTTAAGATAGCTGACTTATAAAGCTGTGTATAATGTTTAAATATGTATTACTAGAAACGTATACATCAAAGCTTGACAAAAAAATGAAAACTCTATATAAGCACTTTTATGCAAACATCATATCATGTGCATATTCTTGAAACTAGATTTTCTCTAGAAAGCGAACCCAACTGTATTTATGCTTTTAGAAGACACAAATGTAAAATGAAGAAAAAAACTATATGACATATTTGGGTTTTACTTTTTTTCTTACTTTCAAGAATATAGGAACTGAAATATATTTATGTAAATTTGGATTGAACTTTTTTAGTAAGAATACAATAAATTTTTTTTTCTTTTTTTTAAGAAGAAATTAGGTTTTGATGGAATTTATAAATTCATCAAATTACTTATTACGAATTAAACTGTAATCTAACACTATACAAAAACTGTACAGTTTACAATTTTTGAAGATTTAAACTGTAATCTAACACTATACAAAAACTGTACAGTTTACAATATGACATGATAAGATTTAAACTGTAATCTAACACTATACAAAAACTGTACAGTTTACAATTTTTGACATGATAAGATTTAATTGAGCAATGTAATTTCGTCTTCTTGACTTGATGCTATGTTTGTAAATGTTCTTAAATAATACAGAAAATGAGAACATTATTATACAGTCAACTAGTTTCCTTCTAAACTACAAAATAGTTTTATTTTATACTAGCTGAAGGGCCAGGCGTTCCCTGTAGAAAAAAAATAAAAATTATTTTTAAATGTCGAATTTTTTAGCCTATAACACCCCCCGGCCACCCATGATTGTCCGCAAAAAAATTCAGCCCAATCGGTCCAGCCGTTTGGCCGGCTATACGCAACATATATATTTATATGAATGTCTTGTTTTATTATATAGATTAAAAGACACACAAAAATGCACGAAAACCTGAAGGAGAAAAAAAGCCCCCCCTCCACCCCCAATTTTTTAAACCACAATTTTCAGTGACCTACCATGCATGCAAAGATGTCAATGCCCGGTTATCAATGATACCCTTAATATCTTTGTTATGATCAAGTATGGATAAGATATCAATTGTATTTCTTTAAAAAATCTTATCATTTTTAATTGTGGTTTCTCCACAAAAATGACATGCGCAGTTCTACTGCAGAAAATATGAAGAATTTTAAACCGATTTAACAAAACAACAATTTATTTACATCTGTTGTGTGTTGGGATTTTGAATAAAGGGTAACTTGAAATTACGCTTACAGTCCCTTTAAAACATAATTACGCTTACAGTCCCTTTAAACATAATAATTCTTTTCAACCAGATGTCGGAAACCTTTAATATTCAAAACATCAACTTCTGCTAAATAAAAAACTATAAAATATCAACGGTTTAGACTATCCAGGTTTCAAAGAAATATGGATTTAGAAATAAAAGATTGCGGCGATTAGTCAGTTCCAATCGTAAACAAGAGGAGATTAATATTTCTTAATCTCAGTTTTAAATCGGCACTATAATGATTTTTTTGGTTCAAATAATCCACTGGGGTTTTAAGAATGAAAATGTTTAACATGCCAATTTTCCTTATTTTATATTATTTCAACCTGTTTCCCTTCCACTGGACTAAATCTAATAAAAGGAAAAATCATTTTCTCCAATATTTCCGAAACATTTTCTTTATCTTACTATTAAAAGTTACAATTGAAAGTGAAACAAACATTTGGATTCTTTAAAGAGACTGTATACGAAATTTCAAGTGACCCTCCATGCAATGCCTGTTCACAACGGTACCATTAGACCTTTATCTGAAGATATTGTCGGTTTTCTAGGATTAAAATTAAATGTGTTTAATTCTGATAATCGTTTTCCTGCAATAGAAATGTGCAATTCACTTTTTAAAATAATTATAAATTATGAACATTGCAGATATCTATTTTATACTTGATCAGACAAACCTTTTAAGGGTACCGTTGTGAATCGGGCATTGCCATCGTTGCATGAATTGTAGCTGGAAATTACGCTTACAGTCTGAATGATCCTTTTTTTTAAATAAGTTTTTTTCTACTCTTTTAAACGAAAAAATAAAATCATCACTATATTTTTTTATATTATTAGCTACACAGTTAATGTTTATGTAACTTTTATACTGAACTATATTTCATTTATTATTCAATTTTAAATTAGTAAAACTGATTTCAGAAATTGTTATGATTAATTAATATGAGTTCAAATCATGTCTATGTCATTAGGATTAAAGTTTAGTCAAAATTTAAACAAATTTAATTTTAATGTGTAAAACGTCCCCAAAGTGAAAATTAATACATACAATGACGACATTAAATAAATCAAACATCACATCACATCCAGTTCGTTTATAAGTTTTAAAATGATTTTAAGTACAGTGGTTACCTAAAAACAGTGGAATAATTTTGCAGTGGTTTTATTTTTTCTAATAATTATATTAGAGCTTGGGAACTCAACTTTGCCCGGGAACTAAACTCTCTCTCGATAAAATAAAAAGTCGACCAACTCAATTTAGACTTTGAAACCAAACTAGGCACATTCCCGTGGTTCTGCCGATTTCCCAAATCAAAATTTGAGCCAAATCAGTCCAGCGGCCGAATTTAAAGAATTTGAGCGGCGGTTTAAATTTAAGCCGCGGCTTAAATATTGTTGGTTCCACTTAAAATTGTATCAAATGTTTCAAGATTTAAGCCGGCGCTAAATTTTAACCGGGTTTTGGCGGATTTAAACCTCGGCTCAAATTCTTAAAATTCCATCTCAGTTTAAACAGAACATCCACGAACATTCGAGAACAATTACAAATGGTATCTTTCAGAACAACAGATTAAAGCTAACATTGTCAATAATTAATTTTAAATTTGAAAAAAGAAGCAAAATAATTGTATTTTCTCAAAGAATGAGAACTAGGTCAAACTAGAGTAAAAATTAGGTGAGGAATGTCTGTTTTATCTTTGCCTAAAATATTTGGTCAANGGTAGGTCGAGTGGAAAGCTGGAGAGAGTCAAGGAGAATAACAATAGATTCATCCAAAATAAGAAAGTTTGAGATACTATTCATGGTTTGTGTAGGGGGGTGGCCGGTACGCGTATGGGGGACCAGGGGGCTCGCCCCCCCCAGCTCGTACGCCCCTGTGAATCGGCATAATTCCTTGAATTTATTAAACACATAAAATAAAAAAAGTCAAAGTTGTTGGGTTGCAAATAGCTTTTTATCAAATCAGAATCTGTTGCGCCAGAAAAAAGGAAAACTCCTCTTATCTCTTCTTTAAAACTTTTGATTTATTTTTCAATTGAAAAGGACTTTGCATGGACCTCTCCCTCCCTCCCCCCATAATAATTGTTAAATGTCCGGAAGTAAAGATAAGGATCATGTGATACATAAAGTATGGAACGTTCGACTCCGAAATTTTAAGTTTCATTTTAAGTTTTATTTCCTAAATTAAAGATTTTGCACAAGCTGCAGCATTTGCACATTTTCTAAAATATTATATTTGATTTCAAGTCCGAATTAGTTTTTCTAGGTCGTCATTAAATTATCATCCTTTGTTGGTAACCCTGTATTATATGGCGGGTTGAATAGAAGTGTACACTATTGTTAGAACCGCTACCTGCCCTGCCTTCTCTCTACTCCTAGAGTCCTACTCCAAGCACAACATACAAGGATCTTACTAAAGAAACTAGTTTGCGACGAGGTTAATAAAATGGAGGAAGAGGATACACATAATGTCGAGACTGAATTAGAAGATGACCCTCATTATAATCCTCCTCCAGAGAAATCCATCGACGATATTTTGGCCGCCGATAAAGAGGATGCTTCTTTACAACAATATAAAGCAACATTATTAGGTACTTGAGGGTTGAATTTTTTTACCAAAAACAAATTTCAAAAAAAAAATGTTTAATGCAGAATCTCGATTTACCTTTTAATGATAAGGAAGGTTTTAATGATGTTGCATGAATTATGATCAAAAACTGTTTGGGTCTGTCCTAGAGAACGAGTTTTCAACCCCCCGGGCCCCCCTCCCCTATCAATTTTGTACACGACCTTTAATTTTAAGTTATTTTGTATTCTCCATTCAACTGTGTTCATTTACTTTTTATTATTGTTTCTTTCGGTTAGGTTAAGACAATTTCTTGGCCGAACGCTGAGGCTTGAACATGCTAGGGGGCCAAGCGCTGCGGCCAGGACGGGCCTTCAATTTATTCAACAAAAACTAGTATATATTTAGGGTTAGGTTAGTTTAAGACACTTTCTGGGCCGAGCGCTGCGGCTAGGACATGTTTGGGGACCGGGCGCTGCGGCCACATGGTCAATTATTTCCATGTCTTATATATAAGATCCATGTACAAAAATCGTACTCCAGGAAATTATCCACAATTGTTTGCGGATTCATAGGATCCAGATCCTATGTGATCATACGCTTTTTAAATTACTTTTATCCTAGGTTCGGCTGCGGCTGGCACCGGAGCTGTAGTAGTGGACGAGAATGACCCGAGGAAGGTGATTGTGAAGGCCCTCGCCCTGGTCGTCGAGGGCCGGGAGGACGTCACTATGGACCTCACCGAGGACCTCTCTGTGATCAAGACCAAGAAGTTTGTGATCAAGGAGGGGATCAAGTTCAGGATCAGGATTGATTTTATTGTTCAGAGAGAGATTGTTCATGGTCTCAAATATGTTCAGAAAACGTACAGGTAGATTGTTCATGGTCTCAAATATGTTCAGAAAACGTACAGGTAGATTGTTCATGGTCTCAAATATGTTCAGAAAACGTACAGTTAGAAATTGTAAAAACTGTACGAAACCATCATTAAAGGGACTGTGTACGTTTAATCTTTAATTTTCTCATTTATAATGTAAAGCTGCTTATCCGATTCACAACGGTACCTTTGTCCATGATCAAGATGAATTTTATATCATTTTTTTCAACCGAAAATTGATTATTTTCAAATGATATTTCCCTTAATATAAAGAAAATTCAACACTTTTTCAGAAAGAAAAACGACGATATCTTCCTCTTTGTAACTTAAAGTAGAGGCTTTAAAATAACAATTCGGACATGCTACTCCTGAAATGGAGGCTCACTTGAAATTACGTTTATAGTCCCTATAAGGGTTGGCAAACATTGTTCAAGTTTCGTAATCGATTCACAATGGTACTACCTAATCTTTTGATGTGAAAGAATTGTTACCACCTTAAATATTTGAAAAAAAAAGGTTATTTATGACTGTCCGGTCAATGATGTAGGTTCAAACTGTAAAGATTCTCAGTATTCAAGTCAATTATTTAAAAACTTTTCTCAATTCTAACAATTTTGCGAATAAATAGAATAGATAGAAGAAATAGATAACGAACAGATTTAAAATGAAATGATAAATGCCCAAAAAAGGTGGGGGGGGGGGGGTTTTCATAGGGAATTTTATTTCCTCCACTTAAAATACAGATGTAAAGTTTTTTTTTTAAACCATATTCTAAATTTGTTGGGTATATTTTTCCTTTAAACCTACCTCTGTGAAAGTCAATTTTTTACCCAGAGCATCTTACATTTATTAATTAATGATTTATATGTGAAAAAATAGATGAATTTTGGTTAATAATATCAATAACAAAGGAATTGAGTCATTGCCACAAACTCTTTGTGGCAAACTCTAATTTTTAAATATTATTTCTCAATCCCCAGAGGAGTGGCGTAAACCACCCATCTTGGGAACTTAATTAACCTCGTCCAAAACTTTTGTCATCTTTGACCAAAATTGTTTATTTTTAATACGTTTTTTTGTTTTAGAGCTGGCATAAATGTGGATAAGATGACCCATATGGTTGGTTCCTATGCTCCTAAACTAGACCTGTACTCTACCCTCACACCTATGGAGGATGCTCCATCAGGAATGATGAAACGCGGAACCTACTCCGTCGGATCTGTTTTCACCGACGACGACAAGACCGAGCACTTGAAATGGGAGTGGTCAATAGAGATTAAAAAGGACTGGGACTGAATATATTTAGGTCCCAAAAACTATCTGTATCCGCTGACCCATCTCAATATAGGAATTGCTATCCTTATTTATACATTCTACAGTTTTCCAACCCTATCCTCTCGATTATTATGATCATGTAAACGCTTTCTTGGGATTGATTCTTCGCTGTGATTTTATGCTAAAAATAATAATTTTGATATTTTGATACTTTTTTATTAAATTTATACTCAAGAAAATAAATTGATAAACTGAATTTTTTTTTACATAATTGTCTCGCATCAAAATGAGCACAAGTGTTCTTTTTTGTTGTTGTGGAGGGGGTGGAGTTTTAAGAAACAAAACTAGTTTATTCCTCAATTGCAAGTTTAACGTTGGTTGTGAATCCATCCAGCAATGATCAAGGAGAGACAAGTTTAAAGGAAAAGAATTAAATTAAGAATTAATCTCTGATTTTCACTTTACCAAGTTAAAGCAGTATAAATTAAGCTCAGATATTCAGTACTTTCAGTCCTCGGAGCAAATAGTTACGGAGGGAGAGAAAGAGTTCTCCGATTGTATATTTGTTGATAGATTTAGGAGAAATGTACTTTGTGTAGAGATCAGTACGTCTGGTAATGAATTAAAACAAGTTTCTTGATAAAAACAGAGACAACTGTACGTAATGTACCATAAGACATCAGTAAAAAAAGACAAATTCAACCATCAATTTGTCCCTTTTAACGAGTATGTTGTCATTTAAAGTCTTGTCCTTTATGGGTAGCCCTGTACATACAGGGTTATTCACAAAAATAAGATTATAAAGACGACCTGAAACTCTAAGAATATGACGTTCCCAACGTTGGATCAAGTTTTCTATCTTGAATGTAGTCTTTATTGGCCTATTTATTGGGTTGGAAAAGAGATAAGGGAATTATGAACATAAAGAATCAGGCCGTATGAATTCCGTACAGTCGTCTCTGGAGTCTCATTCTTTGTACGTAACGTTGTGTACAGGATTAGTAAACCCTTCCTGACGAAACCCTCCTTCTAAAAGTACTTGTCTGTATTTATATCTTTTAAGTTTCTGTTAAACCTGAATTTCTAAGGTTTCTTCAGCTGTTAGTTTTTATAATCTCCTACTCTATACATTTCCTACGGGTTTAGTGGGATTTATAACGTTATTTTAGGTAACCCTTCAATTACATGGGAATTAATAAAAGAATTTGAGATTTTTTTTTAAATTATTGATTTAAAATGTGATCGTACGATCTTTGAGATTTCCAAAATGGAGAATACTTTCTGGATCTTAAATATTAATGAAGAAATTATGATTGGAAACCACTATAATTATGTTCACAAAAAAATGCCAAATAGATACAAAACAATTGAGTGAAGTCGTTCCTGTTTTATGGGACACCCTGTAGAACTGGTATTTCGATCGGAGAATCGACCATTATCGGCCATTTTATCACTTCTCCACGAAAGAAATCCGCGAAATTGCGTTCTACAAATTTTGAATTCCAACATCAAAACTTAGGCAAGAGGCTTGCATTGAATCGTTTGTGGAATTTTTTAAATGTATCGTTAAGAAATGTCTCTAGATTGCCTGAAGGTTAGAGATCGATTGAGCTTTTAAATTGTTGTCATATCTTTTAAATATTTATAGATGGAGATTTAAAATGTTTTAAAAAATTTGGTTTTATCTTTATAAGTTGAAATCTTAAAAAACGCAGGCCACATTTTGGAAATCTCAAAATTAGAAGTATCTTTATTAAAAAAATTGCAATCCTGTCTAGGCGTCTGTTTTGCCTTGGTTAGAATTCTAAGTTGAGTGGGTTGACTTTTTTAAAGAAAGATTAGTTTCTAAGCGATTTAAAGACAATTTTATTTTCCTTTATTTCCTATTTTATTGGGACACACTGTATTTTAACTGTATTATA